ACTCAGCATAATCTCTTCCAGTCCCATCCATGTTGATACAACACATGAAAAAATGTTCATCATCACTAGCCATCAGGGAGATTCAAATTAAAACCACACTGAGATACCACCTTACACCAGTTAAAATTGCCAAAATTAACAAGACAGGAAACAATGTGTGTTGGAGAGGATGTGGAGAAAGGGGAACCCTCTTACACTGTTGGTGGGAATGCAAGTTGGTGCAGCCACTTTGGAGAACAGTGTAGAGATTCCTTAGGAAATTAAAAATAGAGCTTCCCTATGACCCTGCAATTGCACTACTGGGTATTTACCCCAAAGATAAAGATGTAGTGAAAAGAAGGGGCATCTGTACCCCAATGTTCATAGCAGCAATGACCACGGTCGCAAAACTGTGGAAAGAACCAAGATGCCCTTCAACGGATGAATGGATAAGGGAGATGTGGTCCATATACACTATGGAGTATTATGCCTCCATCAGAAAGGATGAATGCCCAACTTTTATTTTTATTTTTTAAAAAGATTTTATTTAGTTATTTGAGAGAGAAAGTAAGTGAGAGGGAGAGAGAATACAAGTCAGCCATGGGAGCAAGGTGGAGGGAGAGGGAGAAGCAGACTCCCCACTGAGCAAGGAGCCTGATGTGGGACTTGATCCCAGGACTCTGGGATCATGATCTGAGCTAGAAGCAGATGCTTAACTGACTGAGACACCCAGGATCCCCAATAAAAATTTTAAAAATTTCTAACTAGTAAGCCAAAAAAGATGATACAATGGGGTCATAAAAAATAATTAACTCAAAAAAGGTATTTTTAAAAGGACAAATAGGAAAGGAATTGCAAGGTGCTAAGCTTAAATTCAATCATATCATGAGTTAAATTAACTATAAATACACCAATTAAAATGCAGATGTTGCCAAATTAGGTAAAACAGCAGTATCCAATTATCTACTGCTTATAATTAAGTCACATCAAATATAAAGACACAAATTGATTAAAAGTAAAAGAATGGGAAAAGTTATATCCTGATAAAACTAGTCAAATTAAAGCTAAAGTGCCTATCTTAGTATTAGAGAAAATAGATTTTAGAGCAAAGAATGTAACAAGAATAAAGGTTATTTCATAATTATAAAGTGGCCAATTAAGAGGAATAAAAATCCCAAACCTTGTGAACCCAACAACTTCAAGAGACCTAAAACAAAAACTGATAAATTTTTGAGAAATAATAGACAAATTTAGTTGCAGATGTCAGTACTCCTGAGTAATTGGTAAATAAGTAGACAGATCAGTTCATATATAGAAGTCATTGACAATATGATCAACCAACTTGATCTAATTTATATTTATCAAACACTCCATCCAATGACAACAGAGTACACATTTTCCCCCTGAGTACCTCAAGGCATTTATCAAGATAGACTATATTCCGGGTCATAAAAATAGTCTCAATAAATTTTAAGCAATTCAAGTTATACAATGTATATGCTAGGACATATTTTAAAAGGACAATTAAAGTTTATAGAGATATTTAAAGAATAACATTATGAAAACACCATTTGCCCAAAAAAGTTGATAACTTAGATGGAAATAGACAAATTCTTTGAAAGACACAAATTACCAAACTGCAAAAACTCACTCAAGAATAAATAGATAGGCGGGGTGCCTGGGTGGCTCAGTGGGTTAAAGCCTCTGCCTTCAGCTCAGGTCACGATCCCAGGGTCCTGGGATTGAGCCCCGCATCGGGCTCTCTGCTCAGCAGGGAGCCTGCTTCCTCCTCTCTCTCTGCCTGCCTCTCTGACTACTTGTAATCTCTATCAAATAAATAAATAAAATCTTAAAAAAAAAAGAGAGAATAAATAGATAGGAGTGCCTGGGTGGCTTAGTTGTTAAGTGTCTACCTTTGGACCAGGTCATGACTCCAGGGTCCTGGGATCAAGTCCTGCATCAGGCTCATTGCTCAGCAGGGAGCCTGCTTTTCCCTCAGCCTCCCACTCCCCCTACATGTGCTTTGTCTCTCTCAAGCTGACAAATTAATAAATTTAAAAATCTTAAAAAATATATCATTACATGCCTATTAAAATAGTTAAAATCCAGAATACTGATAATATAAAATGTTGGTGAGGATGTGGAGCCACAGAAACTCATTTATTGCTGGTGGGAATGCAAAATGGTACAATCTGGAAAAGTTTGGCAGTTTCTTACAAACTTAATTTGCTGGCAATTATGCTTCATGGTATTTCCCCAAATGAGTTGAAAACTTATGACCACATAGAAATCTGGCATGAATATTTTATAGCAGCTTTGCATATAATTGCCAAAACATGGAAGTAAACAAGATGTCCCTTGGTAAGTGAATGGACATCCAGTACATCCAGATAACGGAGTCATTTTCAACAATAAAAATAAATGAGCTATCAAGGTAAGAAAAGACATAGAGAAAACTTAAATTCACATTAAAACAAGTCAATCTAAAAATAAGCCAATCTGAAAAGTCCACACACTGTATGATTCCAACTACATGACACTCCAGAAAAGGCAAAACTACGTAGGCAGTAAAAAAATCAGTAGTTGCCAGGAATTTAGGAGTAGAGGATGAATAGGAGGAGCACACTTCATTTTTAAAGCAATGAAACTATTCTGTATGATATTGTAATGGTGGACATGTCATTATACATTTGTTAAAACCCACAGAATGTGCCACATAAAGAATGAACTCTAAACTATAAACTTCAGTTAATAATCTACCAATATTGAATTAGTAATTGTAATAAATGTGCCATACTACTGCGAAATGTTAAAAATAGGGGAAATTGGGAAGGGGTGGCGGTATTTGGGAACTCTCTGTACTTTCTGCTCAATTTTTCTGTAAACCTGTACCTACTCAAAAAAGTATATTAACTGGTGGTTGCCAGAGGGAAGTGGGTGGGTAAAGGGTGAAATACATAAAGGAGACCAAGGGTATATTTATCTTGATGAGCACTGAATAACATATAATATTGTTGAATCATTATATTGATTTTTAAAAAATAATATCACACTGAAAGTTAATTATGCCCCAATAAAATTTTTTTGAATACCAAAAAGTCTATGAAATTTTTAAAATGTTAAAGTGAAAACAAAACAAGACAAAACAAACAAACAAAAATGGTCTTTGCAACTTTGAGTTAGGCAAAGATTTCTTAGTTATAACACCAAAGCATGAACCATAGAAAAAAAGTTGGTAAATTGGGATTCATGAAAATTAAAAACTGTTGTGTCTCAAAAGTCGTGAGGAAAGCTTTGGGTTAATAGGTACATTCATTCTCTTGATTGTGGTGATCATTTCATGAGTGTATACGTATGTCAAAACTTACCTAATTCTATACTTCAATGTGTACAATTTATTGTACATGCAAAGCTGTTAAAACTTTAAAAATTTAAAAGAATACCCAGAGAGCTTCTAATGCAGATGCCTTGGGCCTCACCCCCAGAGCTCCTAATTTTATAAGGCTGAGATAAAATCCAGGAATCTGCATTTTTACCAGACATCCAGATAATTTTAGTCCTAGGGAGGAAGGAAAAATTCCTCCAGACTGTCTCAGACTCCACATTGCAACATCAATCCTTCTCTGGGTCTCCAGTCTGCTAGTCTTCCATTCAGATTTCAGACTTACCATCCTCCATAATTGCATGAGTCAATTTCTTAAATAAGACTAATTCTCTCCGTCTCCCTCATACACAATTTTTTCTGTTTCTCTGGAAAACTCTAATATGGTCAGTAAAATAATAATATCCCATAAAAATAATCACTTTGAGACTCCTTGAAAAGATTCATAAATTTGATTGTGGCTACATAAATGTGGTTCATACACATTTGAAGACATGAACCTTACATATTTACATCCCTTTAATTTTTACAATGCCCGATACACATTCATTATTCACAAGGTATCTGAATGAATGAATGTTTTTCTCTTTATGGACTCCCATGGGGTGACGTATTGTTGATTGTCTTCTTTGCATCTTCTAATTTGGGTCATGTCCATGTCAGGTTGACTCAACCAAGAAAGAACCTTGGAAAGACTCTACAACTGGTCTCTGACTGCACTTTATAGCCCTGATCTTTAAACATTGTTTCACAGTTTTCTAAGAACAAATTCTTATCCTTTGTATTTTTGTTTGGCACACCAGCTATTCTGATTCCTCTCAGTGACAGGACCTACTGGCTTTCTTGTCCTTGAATTTTCATCCATTCCCATTTTAGAAGTAAAGACTTTGACCACTCAACAGTGGCCCTCATTCAGTTACCCATGTCTATGGAAAGGGCAGATTTTGCTGATTCCTCCAAGCCACTTCATTAGGCTAACATTTTAGTTGGTGATATTAAGGGGAGGGAAAGAAAGGTATGATCTCTAAGTCTCAAGTCATAATCACCCTACTTTCAACTCTAAATAGGACAAGAAACTCCTGATCCTAACTCTACCATAGACTTTCCTTCATGACTGGCCCAGGATGAAAGCATTTTTACCTTAGCTGGGCATCTCCCTGTGTTTGGGTCTGTGTAAAGCACTGGGATGATGGAATTAAAGCTGGTCACAAGTTTGGCAATACTATGTTCCATGAAAGAAGTAAAAGAATTTACTCAATAACACAAAATGTCAGAGTGATGAAAGACCTTGAAATTCATGTGATCAAATCTCCTTACTCATAGATAAAGAAATCAAGGTCCAAAAACATGAAGTGACTTCTCAAGGTTTGATTTCCAACACTATCCTGAAGCCTTCTTTGACCTTTTTGGAGGTCATCTTTATTCCTCTGAGATCCCCAATGTACTGCTTGTACCTCTTTTTAGTGCTGTATCTGGTCTTGCTTCATTAGATTTGCAATATGCAATATTTGGGAGACTAAATGTCTAACTTCCAGGGTTTAGCAGAGAAGCTAAACTCATATCAATGTTTCATAGATATTTTTGTAAAAATGGGAGGGGAAAAGAGGAGGAGGAGAAGAAGTAAAGATGGGTCTAAAGCTTAGTGATTTGATTTATCACCAGTAAACATGGTGGCAAACAACATTTGAGAACCCACGCCCAACAATAATGGGTATATTGGAACATGAAGCAGGGAGCTTCTCCAGGCTCCTGAGATGGTATAGGCTTTTCCCTCCTTTTCTGTCTCCTCCTGGATCCATTGAATAAATTGAGCGACAGACACAAACATACCGGGCCTCCCCCTGAAGCCAGATCTTGTACCCCAACTGAAGACACCCACTTGGAAGAGCCTCTGGGTTCCATGAGTAGTACAGACCATAGGTGCCCCACTGTCTCCCTGAGAATGAGAGAATGAAGAAGGTACAGTCTGCAAGGAATCAACAGTAGCTCTAAAAAAAGGGCAGGATGAGGGGGCCCTAGTGGCATGGACTAGGGGCCTCTCTCCAGGGTACTATCCTGAGAACCTAGAAAGTGGTGGGATGTGGAAGATGGGGCTGAGGCAAGGGCTGAGTACCTGGCAATCGCCTTTGGTGCCTGGTTCCTTCCAAGCACAAACCATGTTCCTAGAGAGCTGGTCTACTCTCTTGCTGCATTCTCTCCAGCTAATCTGCATCACTCTCAGCTTCTGCAGGTACACGTTTAAGTTGTCCTTTAGGTCTGGGAAATGAGGAAGCTAGTGTGAGAATGAGTGCTGCATCAACCACTGAAAGTGGTTGATCAGGGTGGAAGCCACAGAATGATGCAAACACTTCGCAAACCATAGACTCACAGGGTAGAAAGGCCTTAGAGGTGACCTAATGTAATGCCCCACTCAATCTCCTCCTCAAGATCTCCAATAAGTGGTTCTTTCATTTCTGCTTGTATGTATTCTCTTTGGGAAACTCATTCCTTCTGGAAGCAGCCTACTAAACCCACAGCACCAGTACTTGCCAGGTAAACTTAGAATAAACTTTCTCCATGGCTCTACTATCTCTCCACAGGCATGGTTGGTCCCTGTGCTGAGGTTCAGAACAACACAGCTTCTGAGTCAGTGTTGTCCAGTGTCTCTGCTAGGTCAGTGGAGAAACCAGGAAAATGACCTGCCTATTACTGCCAATTTGTGGAAAGGAAAAAACTGTAATTCTAGAGGACCTTCTAGCTTCCCCATCCCATTCCCACCCTCCCAGAGGTTCTCACTGTCTGGCCAGCCTTGAGCCCTGGGGAAAAAGTAGAGTCATTGATGACAAAGCTTGGTTGAAGAATCACTGGTTCAGTTATTTTGATCACTGACTTTCATCAAATGATAAACAGATGGAGAGATGTACATTATAAAACAACCCATGAAGGAAGAATCCAAATTGGCTTTCTAGTGCCCAGTGTTTCTGCCCCCCCCCAAAATTATCACTCTCATATTTTGAGATTCTTCTATATTCCAGGCTTTCACTAGAGACTTTACAATATAATTGCGTTTAATTTAATCCACATAACCGATTTGAGGGAGACATTGCTGTCATTCTACAGGTGAGAAAAGGTGAGGGTGATGAAGGTGGAAGAACTAGCTCAAGATCACAAAGCTAGAGTCGTGAGACCAAAATTTAGACCTGAGTCTTCCAAAGCATCATGCTGTCTAGCCCAGGGAAACATAAATGTGAACTTTCTATGGATTTTGAAGGGAAGACACATACCATGCTCATAAGCTGTCACCCACTCTGCCATCCAACACCGGTCCCAGATCCTTTCCTTCTTCTGCAGACAGATGGGCATTTTGAAGTTAGTGAATTGTACTGGTGTGGCAAGCAGAAGCAAGGAGAGATCACTGTCAAGGTGGGATGGTTTATAATCTTTGTGAATAATTATCTTCTGCACTTGCTTTCTCTCCAAGTGGACATCACTGAATCTTTTGGTTCCCATGACCACGGTAATATTTCCCAATGCCATTTTTAACCTAAAAAATGAAAATAATAACTCCAAGCTATAGTAACAGTTACACTACATTTCACATTTATAGACGCATTTGTAAACAGCAGAGTTCACAAGTGATACTGAGAAATCTGAAGAAGTGGACGTGTAGTGCCCTAGAGACTGGCTAAAGATCAGAGTGGCAGGAATCAGGAGTCCAGGCTCAAGCAAATGTCTAAGCTAGCGAATCATCAACCCAGGAAGATTTCCCCGACCCAGAGAAAGACGAATGAATCCATTCAAGAAAATAGAATGTGAATTCCTTGACAATAGGGATTTTGACTGTCTTGTTGATTGCTATATCACCAGCACTTGGAACAGCCCATGGTAGGTGTTTAATGAGTATGTGTACAATGAACAAACATAGTGCATTGTCTGCACATATGGCAGGCAGGAGAAGGAAAAACTTGTACTGATTTTCCAATACTGGGTGCATAGTCACAACTAGCAGCCAACCTTAGGATGTGGTTCACTTAAAAGGAGAAAGTAGGTATAGAAAAGAGACTTTTTGATACAAAGCCAATGGGAACAAACTGGGTATAGAGTCCATGGGTTCATAACCCTTGTGACTAATCCATTAAGCTATGCAGCCCAGACAAAATGTTGAGGAAAGGGGCCCCTGGGTGGCTCAGTGGGTTAAGCCTCTGCCTTCAGCTCAGGTCATGATCTCAGGGTCCTGGAATTGAGCCCCGCATCAGGCTCTCTGCTCAGCCTGCTTTTCCCCACTCCCCCCACCGCCCCTACCTGCCTCTCTGCCTACTTGTGATCTCTCTCTCTGCCAAATAAATAGACAAAATCTTTTTAAAAATGTTGAGGAAATTTGATGCAAATTAAGACAATGCTTCAGAAACTTACAGGGTTCTTGGGAAGCAATGGGCAGCTGTCAAAACCCACCACCGATGTATGATTGAGCCTCCACAGAGGTGTTTCCGTGAGATCTGGATACTCACTTGCCATGGGAACTCACCTTCCTGGACTTCAAACAGTTCACGAAATGATAACAATGATGAATTTGAAAAGGCAGGTCGGTGGCCACAATGAACTTTGAAAGAGAAACAAAAGAGCCATTTGTACATGAGGAGCATGGAGAAATCCTTCTTATCAGGTATTCTCACCATCTTCCAAGTTTAGACTGGTAATGAAGCTGAGTGAAATAAATGAGCAGGCACAGAAGGGCACAGAGAGGCAGAGTCTCAGAAAACACCAGCAAAACACTCCTCCTTTAATGTCGATCCCTTATATTCAAAACCACTGTGAGACCTGGAGATGTCAGGGAAGAGATCCATCAGAAGCTATAAAGGGTTTGGGGTGGCAATGCAAAAGGGCCAAAGATATGTAGGATCCATTCAAGAGACAGCAACCATGTAGAATTTGAATAGGGAAAGTCAATATCAAGGATCAAATTATAACAGAGGAAGAACTACAAACGGTCAAGAGGACTCCGAGAATACCATAAGTCTAGGGTAGAGTGAAAAGACTGAACGTGACAGAGGAGCCTCTCCCTAAGTTTCGGGTTCAGAAATCACTGGATAATGTGAGTTTGCAGCCCAAGGGAAAACAGAAGGTTGCTAGTTCTATTGCTACACAAGCAGGAGACATCCCTTTAAAGTACAGCTAGATTGAAGCTATAACACCCCTCCTGGTAAGTAGGTAGAGGTGAGCAGGAGGGAGCTTAGGTATCAAGAGCCTGCTCATTAGCCAAAGGGCACAAGGCCTGGGATGTCCATGTCTGTGTCGGGACAGCTGCAGTGAGAAGGTTTAAGGAGACTGGAAGGATTTGGAGGACCTGTCAAAGAAAAAGATATGACCACAAGGTGGCAGTAGCACACACAAGCTTCATTTAAGTTGGTCTGTTTGTCCTAGAAGCCCTTTAACAGCAGGAGACCATCTAGAAACTCCAAGGGCCACCATCCAGAAGGGGAGGGGGACAAGGGAACTCCCAGGGGAAGAGATCAGAGAAGGTGCTTAACATCTAGGTAATGTTGCTCAGCAGCAGATATGGGAGTCTCTGAGTCAAAGAGCAATTAAGGGCAAATAATGGTGTGGGTGTTGATAATCAACAGGCTTTATCTTATCTATGACTAGCACATATTGGGTGCAGTTTCACTGGGTATGCAAAACAGGCAGGCTCTCAACATCTAAAAACTGCTAAGTTGGGCTTTATTGAAAATAAATGGATGGGGCACCTGGGTGGCTCAGTCAGTTAAACAACTGCCTTTTGCCCAGGTCATGGTCCTGGGGTCCTGGGATTGAGCCTCACATCGAGGGCTCCCTGCTCCGTGGAAAGTCTGCTTCTCCCTCTGCCTCTTCCCCCTACACATGCTCTCTCTCTCCTCTCTCTTTCAAAAACTAAATAAATAAATAAATAAAATCTTAAAAAGAAAAAGAAAACAAATGGATGTGTAAAAAGTTAGAAGCCATTTTGGAGCCATTTACATATCAGGAGGTCACTAGACAGGGGACAAGGCTCAAGCTTATGACCTATGGCTGGAGCCAAGCACTTCTGGATGTCCTCTCCCCCTGCAACAATCATACTGTAGGAACAAGGAGAAACAAACAGAAGCATGCCAGACAAGAACCAGGAAAAAAGTCTCTTCCTTCTGCAGTATCTAGTATCTAGTGTCTTCTGCTGAGGATAATTTTGTTTTCCAGATTAAGATATAACTGACATAGAACAGTGTGAAACTTTAATATGGACAACATGTGGATTTGATACACTTGTATATTGCAAAATGATTATCACCATAGCATTAACTAACAACTCCACCACATCCCGTTACCATTTTTTTGTAGTGAGAACATGTAAGATCTACTCTCTTAGCAACTTTCAAGTATATACTATGTTACTATTAATCATAATCACCATATTATACACTAGGTTCCCAGAATTTATTCATCTTCTAACTGAAAATTTGGATCCTTTGACCAACCTCTTCCTATTTCTTATACCCCTGGCCCTTGATAACCACCATTCCACTCTCTGTTTCTATAACTTTGTTTTTTTCAGATTCCGAATATAAGTGAGAACATACAGTCTTTGTCCTTCTCTGTCTTGATTTATTTCACTCAACATCATGCCCTCAGAGTCCAGTCATGTTATTGTAAATGGCAGGAATTCCTTCTTTCCTATGACTGAATAATAGTCACATATATATCACATCTTTATCCATTCATCCATTGACAGACACTTAGGTTGTTTCCGTATCTTGGCTGTTGTGAATAATGCTGAAATGAATGTGGAAATACAGACAACTCTTTGAGATCCTGTTTTCCTTTCCTTTGGATATATACCCAGAAATGGGATTGCAAGATCATATAGCAATTCTATTCTCAATTTTTTTAAGAAAACCCCATTCTGTTTTCCAAAATAGTTGCACCAACTTACATTCCCACTAACAGTGCATAAGAGTTCCCTTTTCTCTACATCCTTCCCAATTTTTGGTAACTCTTGTTTTTTTGATAAAAGCTACTTTAGCAGTTGCGAGGTGATATCTCATTGTGGTTTTGATTTGAATTTTCCTGAAGATTACTGATGTCAGTGTATCTGTTCATGTTTCACCTATCTGTTGATCATTTGTATGTCTTCTTTGGGAAAGAAGTTCCCAAATTCAGTTCCTCTATTTTTTAATCAAAAGAAAGTTAAAATTGTATGAATTCTTTATATAATTTGGATATTAAGCCTTTATCAGATATATGATTTGCAAATACTTTCTCCCATTCAATATGTTGCCTTTTAGTTTGTTGACTTTTTCTTCTGCTGTGCAGAACTTTTTGGTTTGATATATTTCCTCTTACTAATTTTTCCTTTTATTGCTTATGTTTTTGGTATCACAACCAAAAAATTATTGCCAGTAACAATGTCAAGGAATTTTTTCCCTTTGTTTTCTTCTAGGAGTTTTATGGTTTTAGTTTTTATGTTTAAGACTCTAATCCATTTCAAGTTAACTTTGATGTGTGGTGTAAGGGTCCCATTTAATTAATGTGACTAACCTGTTTTCCAGAACCATTTATTGAAGAGACTTTTTTCCCCATTGAGTATTCTTGAGTCCCTGTCAAATACTAGTTGACCCCGTACGTGAGGGTTTATTTCTGGGCTGTCACTTTGTTTCCATTGGTCTTTCTGTCTGAGTTTATTCCCTGAAGCTTTGTGTGATGCCTCCAGTTTGTTCTTCCTGAGAATTACTTTGGCCATTCAGGGTCTGTGATGATTCCATACAAATTTTAAGTTTTTTCTTTCTATTCCTGAGAAAGATGTTGGAATTTTGATAGAGATTGCATTGATGCCATAGATGGTTTTGGGTAGTATCAACACTTTAACAGTATTAATTCTGATCCATAAACGTGGGATATTTTTCCATTTGTTTGTGTTTTCTTCAATTTTTTTTTTTTTACCAAAGTTATAGTTTTCACTGTAGAGATCTTTCATCTTTTTGGTTAACTTTATTCCTATTTTTTGATTCTATTGTGAATGGGATTATTTATTTCATTCTCAGATATAATGTTGTTAGTCTACCTAAATACAACTGATTTCTGTATGTTGATCTTGTATCCTGCAACTTTGCTGAGTTCATTGATTAGATTTTTAGTGTTGTAAATATATTTTCTATATAAAAAATTACATCATCTGTATCCAAAACAATTTTCCTTTTTCATTTGGATGCCTTTTATTTTATTTTCTTGACTGATTGCTCTGGCTAGGACTTCCAGTGCTTTGCTGAGTAAATGAGAATGGGCACTTTTGTCTTGTTCCTGGCCTTAGAGGAAAAAAACGTTCAATTTTTCCCCATTGAGTATAGTATTGGCTGTGGGTTTGTCATATATGGCTTTTATTATGTTGAAGTATGTTCCTTCTATACCCAATATGTTGAGCATTTTTATCATGGAAAGCTAATGCATTTTGTCAAATGTTATTTCTGCATCTATTGAAATGATCATGTGATTTTTATCTTTCATTCAGTTAATGTGGTGTGCCACATGTATTGATTTGTGAACCATTCTTTAATCCTAGGGATAAATATCACTCAGTCATGGTTTATGATCCTTTTAATGTGCTATTGAATTTTGTTTGCTAATATTTTGTTAAGAATTTGTATAATTATATTCATCAGGAATATTGGTCTGTAGGGGTTTTTTTCTTTTATTACATCCTTATCTGGCTCTGGTGTTATAATATGCTGGTCTTGTGAAATGTTTGGGAATGTTCCTTCCTCTTCTATTTTTTGGAAGAGTTTGAAAGGATTGGCATTAATTCTTCTTTAAATGTTTGGTAGAATGAACCATTGGAACTGTCAGGTCTTGTCCTTCTCTAAGTTGGTTAGCTTTTGATTACTGATTCAAACTTTTTTTTTTATGTTAGTCACTATATAGTATATCATTAGTTTTTGATGTAGGGTTCCCTGATTCATTGTTTGCATATAACACCCAGTGCTCCATGTAATACATGCCCTCTTTAATACTCATCACCAGGCTAACCCATCCCCCCACACTCCTCCCCTCTAAAACCCTCAGTTTGTTTCTCAGAGTCCATAGTCTCTCATGGTTCTTCTCCCCCTCTGATTCCCCCCCACCTTCGTTTTTCCCTTCCTTCTCCTAATGTCCTCCATGCATTCCTTATGTTTGACAAATAGGTGAAAGCATATGACAATTGACTCTCTCTGCTTGACTTACTTCACTTAGCATAATCTCCTCCAGTCCCATCCATGTTAATGCAAAAGCTGGATATTCATCCTTTCTGATGGCTGAGTAATACTCCCTTGTGTATATGGACCACATCTTCTTTATATATTTGTCTGTTGAAGGGCATCTATACTCTTTCTGCAGTTTGGCTATTGTGGACATTGCTGCTATGAACATTGGGATGCATATCGCCCTTCTTTTCACTACACCTGTATCTTTGGGGTAAATATCCAATAGTGCAATTGCTGGGTCATAGGGTAGCTCTATTTTTAATTTTTTAAAGAACCTCCACACTGTTTTCCAAAGTGGCTACACTAACTTGCATTACCACCAATAGTGTAGGAGGGTTCCCCTTCTCCACAGCCT